TTTTTTTTTTTTTTTTTTTTTTGAATAAACACATTGAATAAAGACAAGTAATTGAGAAAGAAAGAAAACTTGGTAAATCCAGAAATATATTTGATCGAAGGATCTTTACCGAAATCCATAAGTATGTTTGAGCAAAGGATCTCAACCCTTCGACTTAAAAAAATTATCTCAATCTTCTTCTACGATACATGAAACTGGATAATTTTTCAATTTCACTGAAATGGCACATCGAATGATTTATATAAAAAAGAAAAAAAGAAAAAAACGGTGAATCCAGTATTATATTCGATCGAATGATCCTCCCAGGCAGACACTCTTTATTCTTTGTCAATCTTGATCTACGATACGAAAAAGAATCTAATCTTTTTAATTTCATATCGAGTAAAAGAATCAATCTTTCACACAAACACTCTTTAATAAAATAAAGAAAAAAATTACTCCAATCTTGATCTACGATACAGAAAGATGTCTTTTTAATTTCACTGAAACAACACATCGAATAAAAGCAACAAATTCGTATAAAAAAAAAAAAGAAAGAAAGAAAGAAGAAATTATATTCGACCGGAAGATTGATCCTCCACACAAGCACTCTTCGTTTCTCGAACGATTCGAAAAACTACCCCAATCTTGCTCTACGATACGAGAAGATACGCTGAATACATTTTCAATTGCACTTTTTCGTCACAATCGGGGGGATAAATCGAACGAAAATTCGTGGTCCCCACGCGAAAGACTAGCCTACCTGTTGCTACCGAAGACAGAGATCGAAAGGTCCAACCGGTGTACGTTGAATGAGCCACGACCGAGCAATCCCGAGCTTACCACCGCGGATATATCGAGGATCCAGGCAGCGAGGATTCTTCGACTGCTGCGCAAACGCGTCCTCCCGTGGGATCTTCTTCGCGGATCCTTGCGAAGACGAGCGGGAGAGACGGGTGGATCTATGTATGTATGACTTGGAACACTATTTCCGTCAAGGAGACGATCGAAATGGACGCGTAAGGATATCGACTCTTCTTTGTCCAATCTTCATCGTTACGAAGCATTAAACAGCTGTTTCTGTTATTTGAGTATTAAACTCGTGTCTCTGGAAAAATTCTGTTCTTTTGTTTCTCCGTTTCTTTCTTTGATAATTTCGACGATGTATTCGTCGTTAGATTGGACAGAATTTTTGCGAAGAGTTACGCTGATGCTTCTTGGTTGGAATAAAAGGGACAATCGTCTGAGGGTGCGGGTGCCCCCGGTTAACGATGAACTTGATTCCAGGAAATGATGCAATGGTAGGCTTCATAATTCAACGCATCCATCCGCGTTTGTTGTTGCACTTGTCGGTTACATAGTCGTTGCTGCCACGTGTATTAACTGCGAGAATGAAGCGTGATATCTTGCTAAAACTAACGCGAGTTCTAACGAACAACGTGGCTGTTAGAGAGCGCATCGTTGAATAGTTGCTCGATTTCGTAATAGGTCATACGTCAAAACAGAGGTTTCCCGGGTGGGGAAATTTCATTCCACAGGTCGATCGACTGGGAAATATTCATACAATCGTTCGGGGAGAGAGAGAGAGAGAGAGAGAGAGAGAGAAGCTCCTCTCCAGGATGCCAGAGGAAAACTTGTGGAAACGACTCGGATTGTTCATTCGCGATGAAATCGTCGAGCGTCTTCGCCATAGAAGGGTTGGCCACTCGAATAAATTGGAAACCGAGCTTCTAGATACGCGCGATGGTTTATTACGATGGGAAAGGAGCGCGTAGGCATCGTTAAAAAGGTGTCAGACGCAGAATATACCACTCTCTCTCTCTCTCTCTCTCTCTTTCTCTTTCGAAAATCGTGATAATCACTGCCGCTGCACCAAAAGTGGTCCGGACTCCTTGACCTTTCCTTTCTTCCAGAATCCCCTGGTGCATCGAGGATCTCCGTTGATCTCCTGTCGGGCCGGAATTAGGTTCTTTCGTCGCTCGAGCGAAACAACATCGGATCGAATCGCGGAAAACACTTTCAAAAGGTGGCTAAGAGACGAGATTCGGAACCTCTACACTAACATCGATGAAACATATAAATTGAACGACTGAGAACTCGTTCGTTCCCTGCCTTTGTACAAAGCTTCTCCTCTGCGAAGTGTCGCACCAACAATTCGAAGATGCAAACGTAATGTCCTCGACTACCTGCCCCTACGACGACGCGACGTGCACGAGCGATAGCGTAACAGCTCTGCACCCGGATATAGGACAAATAATGATTTCTGACGTAGCGGGCACGAAACTAGAGGTACTTTCAAGGAATTCTACGGCTAAATGTTTAATCGGGATCGATCAGACAAGGTGTCTGTCCAACGAAATTCCTCAGAGTACGTGTACCGGAGGAGCACGTATCCATGGTGGGAGCCGCGCGAATAGGATAGAAGGTTTCCTAGAAGGATCAAAAGGGAACGTGTGAAATGACGCGTAAAACCGATTGGTAACCGGCGATGGAAGCCAGCCGTTTCGTTTCAAATAGGCAAAACGACGCCCTTTTTTTTAGGGATAAAAACGTTCATAATGCTGGAATGCAGGGGCGAGAGACTGATAGGGGTGCTTAATAATGCAATATGGCGTCGGGGCGTCGCGGCGCTATGCCGGCTATGCCGCATACCACCACCATATACGCCTACACTGCGACCCCCTTACACCCTTCGTGGCCATCCCCCCGAGTACGAGCAAGCCGGGGAAGAGGTAGGGATAGACCGTGCAATCGAATGCTGATTGGAAAATATTGATGGGGCTTTCCATACAGGATCCCCTCAGGACCGCCCGATGCTTTTTCTAAGTTCGCCTCGGAATTCCGGAAATTATATCGAACGCCAACTTTCGAGGGATGCCCCAGTTTCATGCCGCGGAAGATTGATATTAATTGATGATCACCGGGGATTAATATCTTGCTCTCTTCGAGTGATTTCTTTGAGCGATCGGACTGTTAGAATAGAAATAAATACGAGCAGTTTAGAGTGTTGGAATTTGTTCTTGCGTGTAGGCTCTTCGTTTGTTATATCGAACGCGAAGTTTTGAAGGATGTTCTAGTTTCATTCTAGGCAGGATTGATTAATTAATTGATAATCAACGAATTATATAGTAATCGTCAGATCTGAACAGTTTCAGCTTTGGACGACTTGAATGAAACATAGGTGTTTCAGTGCAGCATTTATTTTTTTATATTGTAAAACTGAGGTTTAAGAGCCATGAGATTGTCAATGCAATATTTTCTAAAGTAATTTCTAGGGAAATAAAATGGGATGATTATAATTCTTCTGACATTAGATTATTAAATTTTTTTTACTATCAAATGAAGAACATACCTATTACAATTCCACAACTGTGTACTCCATTTTGAAAATTATAATTAACTTACATCCTTTTAAACTCATGTGTATTACAATCTACACTGTTATACTGTTGCATTCATTCATAAAAAAATGTATCTTGAATTCTTTTCAACAGAGTATCGAAAGTACGGTTGTTGAAGTGGCGCGTCTGACCAATGATGGTTACTTTTCACTTGAAGTATGCACCCTCTAAATGTTGCGTTGAATTATAATAGAATAAAATTTATTCACTAATTAATTTCATCTTAGAACAATGATATTTTACGAAGAATAAACGTACCTTTATGAGAATGGGTTAATTGCTACTTATTAAATGAAACATAATTGGATTTGTATTATAAATTTAATGTTTAATATAAATTTATTATATTAATTTATTAATTTAATATAAATTGTTTAATACAAATTGGATTTGTAAATTCATTGAATTGCGAAAAAGTAAAACTGATTGTTCGTTAATTGATCTTATTTTAATACATAAAAAATAAGTACGACACCTTAATTAGTGAGCCTATAAAGTTAGTTTCTATGAAGAATAAATACATCTTTATGAGAATATATTGATTATTATTTATTAAATAATAATATATTATCAGACTCGGTGTAAGACGAGTTAACTCATCAAGTTGACAACTTAAAAGAATATTGCAAATATTTAAACATTTTCCTGTGAAGGAAGATGGGATAGAATGAAACTGGCGAAGGTTTATGTGCAAGACTGTACTCCGTCATTCCAAGTTCCATGAATGGTTCCAAGAGTGGCACGCCGAAGAAGCGATGCCTGCGAACTCATGACCTACTGGCAGAGAGACGTGGTCTCCTCACCATTTCATGGTTCTACTCTCGTAATGATTCTCTTTAAGATCACGGAAATCGTTAGAAAATCGAAGCTACACATCAGAAATATTTATTTATTTTTTTTTTTAATGTTGATCATAAAAATCTCTAATCTCTGATTAGATGGTTCATTGATTTTTAATTCAAATGACAAGAAGTATAATTCATTGGTATTTTCTTCCAGATGGTCAGACCAAAATCGAAGAAAAAGAAGTGGATGAGAAATGTAGAACCTGAATCGACAGACCCGGGAATTCCTATACCGAATTTAACAGAGAAATTTCTTCTAATGCGAGTAAATTTCAAAATGTTCACGGAATA